AGAGAGAGAGAGAGAGAGAGAGAGAGAGAGTGTGTGAGTGAGAGATAGAGAGAGAGAGACTAACAAGTTTCTGTCCTTTATTCTACCAGCAGTATAAAAATGTCTTAATCAAGAGATCGTTGTTCAATTCAGAGAGTGCAAAATGTTACCTAGTTTTCGTAGAGTATAATACATGTTGGGGCCTATGATATTGATGTGTAGATCTACGGTTACAGTAACACCAAGGTACAGGAGTGGGACCGGGGAGAGTTGTCCCCTCACAAAGGGCGACGATTCCACTGCACACACAACTGTTGTGATAAAAGAAAGCTGCAGATTAATACCAATGCTAAAAATGCTATGCTATCTATTACCACAGACCGAATAGTGGTCAATAAAGGCTGGGGAGAAGTAGAGTGCATCTCATTTGGGCAGGAAGACAAAACCTTACGATATTCATGTATTTGACCACCATAATGGATATTAAACGTTTTTAAATGGCACTATACGTCCAGTTACAAAGCTGCTTTTAGTATTTTTTAACTGAAATGAAAAAGTAGTTTAATGTGATTTCTGGAAAGATTTTCTATTTCATCATATTTCGGCAGTGTGTGAAAGTACCGAAAAAGCTGTGTTACTGCCTTTGCTACGAGAGGCTCATTTGAATGAAAATTAAACCTTTTTCAAATACAGTTAACACACTAAGAGACCATACATCAGGAAATATCCACTGTGGTAAAAAAAAAAAGCTACATGTCGTATAGATGAACATATCTCTTTCAGTTAAAGTACAGGTTGACTTCTTTACCTACTTATCCTTGTTCCATTATGAACAAATAGCTTCAAAATCAATAATTAACTGTTTCTTTCTAAATGCTGTCTTTTGCAACTCATGATTCATAAAAATAAACTGTTGTTCCATTTTTTTCTTCAAAAACTCTTGAAACACATATATAAGATCGAAAATTCACAGATTATAAAGTAAGAATCTGAATTCATTATACTAAATTAAAACTAGTGTTACTTCCCGAAATTCCAGCTAAACGACTGCTATGAATGGGTGAGCTAGTTTTCCAAGCTGACCATAAACGGCAATGGTCAAACTGTAAATAAAGAGTAGAAGAATATCTTCTTCACAATGTCATACCTAGAGCAAAAAGGAGGTCTGGTAAAACATGGGATTGCGTCAAGCCGTTAACACCTTTAGAGGTCTATGCCATCACTTGCTGGGTACTTCAGTAAAAACCAGTACGATCAATAGGAGGTCTATGTCCAAGTGGTTCAGGTTACACATACCAAAGTTATAGTTTAGAGGTATGTTGAAACACCAGTAAGAAACACACTCTAATTGAAGCCAACACAGCGTGTAATCTCCAGACACTAGATTTACTTGACACATTTGTGTTGCAAGTACTGTAAAACTAATTAAAACAAAAAACACGTTATTGGACATTAATTTATTAACTCAATTTGCATAGCTGGGGTATCAAAAGAAACATCTCAGTACAAAAATCTAAAACTTGCGTTCTGAAATCATTACAAAAACATTAAATACACACAAAAAATTTTTTAATTAATCACCAGTACAGTACATAACAATTTAACGGGAAATATTCCCTTTGTTCTTTCAATCGAAACTACAACACTAGTAATTAATAGAACATAATTATACACACGTCCATTCCTATGTTCACCACAAAAGATGACCACAGCAACCTGAGCAAGAAGTCTCTCACCCTGTCCATGCTTGAACAAAGATACCCACGAGAAGCATGGATAAGGATCTATACAGACGGATCTGCCGCTAATGCTGAGAAAAGAGGAGCCGGAGAGTACGTACAGTTCCCAAATGGATGACGACAAGCAGAGGCAGTCCCAACAGGGCGACATTGTACAAACTACAGAGCAGAGACGGAGACTCTAATACATGCAGCAAACATCATCAAGAATGTGGTAGACCCCCAAAGCCAAGTAGTATTCCCAACAGATGCCATGTCAGTACTGCAGGCAATCACAGCCGGCAAACTACCAAGGCTACGAAAAGTAATTGAGGACATCCCATGTCTGAGGATCATGCTGCAGTGGATTCCATCCCACTGTGGTGTCTTAGGAAATGAGCAGACAGACAAGATGGCTAAACTAGGAGCACAGAAAGAGCAACCAGACAACAGCGTTAACTACACAAAAATAAAAACTATTACAAATACACTATTTAAAGCACCTCAGACACCAGATAGCTACCATGAGCTGTCCCGCCAAGAACAAGTGATTATCTTCCGACTAAGGACACAATGCACAAGACTGAGACAACATATGTACAGATGTTTTAAACTAGTACAATCACCAAAATGCCAGTGTGGAGAGGCGGACCAAACTGTTGAACACATCCTTCAACACTGCAAGACACACAGAACCCTAAGACAGGAAACGTGGCCAACCCCACTGACACTACAAGAGAAGCTATACGGGCCGACAGATGAACTAGCAGGACGGCCCAATTTATGACAGATACCAGACTTCAAGGTGATGCGATCGAGAAGAAGGAGAAGTAATTAATAGCAACAGCTGCTCCATCTGATCACTCTTTCGTTCTCATAGCAATAAATATCACATTTTTTTGCCAATTACAAAATACACCAAAACATCTTTTTCTGTCACACATCATGTTTACGTTTTCAATCATACAGTCTCCCTGGTCTCTCCGCACAGTAAAATTCTTTTCCTTTTAATATAGTGTTTACGCCTCCATCGACACAAATTAGATAATTAAAGACAGGCTCTTAACCTTGCCTGTCAGGGCTAACCTGGGCTGAGAGGCATAAAACATCTCAGCATAAAAAAGGAGATACTTCTAGAAATTCTCTCCACTCAGGAATCGAACTCGGGTCTCCTGCTAGTGACAGCAAAGCACCTAACTGCTACACCACAGGTACCGGTGCATACTGCAGTGTCCTCTGAACTAAGCAATAGAAGTGAGAAAGAGCAATAACAGAGACTTCATAAAACACATCACATGCTCATGTCACATCACATGCTCATGTGTAAGGCCTATTTGTACTAATTTCAAAGAGACAATGGGCCTGAACAACCAAATAATGCACGACAGAAGTACAATCACTACCATAAAGTCAATATACACAGTGTGTAAGCCTATTGATGCGATACACGTAGGCAAACAAAGCACTGACAATGCCTATCTCTGGCCTGCAATTGACCACGTGCATTCTTGTGTCTCTTTCTTCTGTTTCCTATTTTCGAAGTTAGTAGAGGTTTTACGGTGCTCGCAACTGCATAAGGTCATATGAGCGCCAGAAGATTAGAGGTGTTACAAGAGAGTAACAAACATA